CCCCAAAACCCCAAAACCCCAAAACCCCAAAACCCCAAAACCCCAGAAACTCCAAAAGACACTGAATAATTTCAGAATAACCCGAAATTAACCAAACGAAATCCAAAAATTCCCTTTCTAAACCCCCAAAACCCCTTTTTTCACCTCTAAAATCTCTCAAAACGTCCTAAACTCTCTCTGGCTTCCCTAAAGGTAAGTTTCTGGTACTAAATCTCCAAGTTTTGGGGACCAAAACTTGGAGTGGAGATATCCCGGCTTCAGAAAAACCTGGTTATGTTTAGAACCTGTCCAATCATTAATAAGAAAGTTGCGAATAATTATTCGAAAATCTTAAGAAATTTTCAAAAATTTAGTTAAAAATCATTTAAAATACTACACCAGAACTCTGACTCTGGAAGATAGGCTAGAAGATAACACAGCAAGATTGTTGGCATGCTAGATTGCCTACTCGGTCTCTTTGTTGTGTGATCTTGGCGGATTCTCCCAGTAAAGAGTGGTTATACCGCGACCCACCCTTCGACTCGAAATTGACAGCCAAGCTAGAGGCATTAGCGTAGTCTATCCTCGTCTCTTTGAAATCAATGGAAGATAGCTCTGAATACCTCGAATCTGTTACTATAATAATAAGGATGGAAATGAGTACCTGTCTTAACTTCTGATTCAGATTCCTCTAAGACATTATTCCAGTACTCCTCAAGCTCTGAGTTCCTCTGCTTGATCGGAAATCCTCCATCAGGATTAAACAAGTTAAGAGACTTTATGTCTGTCGTGTATGCGATTTCGTCTAATTTTTCTAACTTCTCGACAATCATTATGTCGTGTTTTTCCAAATTTTCCTCTAAATGATTGGTTCGAAAATTATTAAATAGCGAAGAAGGTAACAAAGATTCCTTATCTAACACTTTATTCTAAATTTACACAGAAATAATGGTGATAAATTATGAAGCTGAAGTAAGAAGAATATTTTGATAAATTATGAAAGAATTTACACAAGTAAGCTTGGGAAAATAGAGGAGTAAAAGTCTCTGCCCATTTAGGACTCGTTTTAGAAACCTCTTGGAGAAATCCCTAATTTAGTTTGGAAATGGTAAAATCTTTCTCAACACTTGGGAAGGATCCCTTATAATGAAGCTTACTTTCGGTCAGTTTTACCAGAGATGTGTAGGCCATATGAGAAAAACCAGAATCTGCAGCTGTCTCTTCTAAAATGCTGTTACAGTTTCTTGATTTGTCTTTGAAAGAAGCTCCTAGTAACGAAGGATCTTCCCCAATCAGTCTTCATAAGGTTTCCTTTAATAAAGGTTTATTCCATATATCACATTTGTGTACGTGGTTATAACTAATCTTCCTGGATCAATAGCTCAGATTAGCCAGAAAGCCCATGTAAATGACTTGTGTGGAGACCTCTAGAGACTCTTTAAAGAAGTGGGTTGAAGGGACACTGAGTAAAAATTCTATCTCAGAATGTACAACTTCTTCTCTCTTCTTATACCCGAAGAAATGGATATCGTCCAACATCATCATAAAGGCATCATTGAACCTTCTCAGTTCTGAAATATTATAAAGAAATTTGATGATCTCTTCACAAGTCTGATTATTTTCGCTCTCGATAGAGGATCTGAGAAGAAAATAGAGTAACAAAAGCCTCTCGATTTGCTCAAACTCAGAATTAATAGCTACTAATTTTAATGTTCTAATAATTTCCGCTCGGCTAAACTCAGCAGAGCATCCATTGATCTTCATTGGTGCGAAAAGAGGGCTATTAGACGAGCTCATGACAAACGATTCATGAATATCTTCTTCCAACTTATTTATTGATCTCTTCAATAACTTTTAGAGAAAGATTGATGTAGTAATTTCATTCCATCGGGCTTCCGTACACCAAGTCCTCATAATCATCAATAGTCTCTATCTTGGCAACTTTGCTGAGTTTACTCTGGAACCATTCAAAATCGATTTCTTTCCTCACATCAACCTGGCCGTTTTCAAAAATGACGCTGTCTTTCTCTGTTCGGAGGAACAGAGAGAACATGGCGCCATTGGGACTCTCAGCAGATCTGTACTCATTAAGAAAGGAAAGCTTGAAGCTTTCCGTTGATAATTTGTACTCATCAACCTCCTCCTCTGCCAAGGAAGTCTCCCTCCGGGACACTGACTCTGAGAGAGTCAGGTCATCACTGACCTGACACTGGGAGGTCTGTGATGGATCCTCTGAGATGTACTTCAGACAAATTTCACCGATGCCGGGGTCTTCCATTATTATTAAATTAGTTATTAGCTTGGGGTTTTGGGGTTTTGGGGTTTTGGGGTTTTGGGG